CATTAATAGTTTATCAATCAAATACACTGTACATAATTTATATAGTTAGAGTTTAAAAGTAATTTGATTTGGAACCAATTAAATTCATTGTTATCCATACCTTTATTATTATTATCATTTTTTTTTAATTTGTTGATTACTAATTAAAATGTTAGTATTTAATGAGTGTCTCAAAGTATATGATAATGGCAACCAAACCAATTTAACCTTGCTACCTAGTCATGAGCTACCGATAGGCAAAAACACGTGTACTACATTTTTGTGGGTGTTGTTTCTTTATAAAAATAGATATGGCTAAGTGAGGGAAATTAATATACACCTAATGCATGCGCAGATTTAGAAAAATTTAGGCTGCCATTCAAATTTATTAAAAAGGAGGTTGTTTACTGCCATCCAAAATGTGGAAATGGTTAAAGTCCGAATTATGAATATTGTGGCAGAGCACGAAGCCACGATTTATTTTATTTGAAAAAATGAAGCCATAAATTGATGATGACGCAATAAATGGACGTTGTGAGGACGGAGATGACGTGGAGAAACGTACGTCAGTGAGAAGAAACGGTGCCGTTGGTAGTTTAACGCAAAACGGAGTGGCTTTCGTTGGAAGGTTGGTGGCCATTTGTCAACGTCTCTTTCTTTTGTAGTAGGTAAAAGCCTAGTTCATCTAATCATTTTCCTTTTTGCTTTTTCATAATTTTAAATAAATTTTAATTATTTTTTAGTCATTTATTAGAACACGGGTTACTATTTTTTAACAAAAAACTTATATTAAATATGATGAATTATTAAATTAATTTTAAAGATTAGCATTTATTAACAAATTAAATTTTAATATTTTTTTATTAAAATTTAATATTTAATTTATTAAAATAATTAATAAAAATATTTTTTAAATATATTAAATATGATTCAATTATTTTAATTTTTTTTTTAAATAACAGATTAATGTTTAAAATAAATAAAATATATTATTAAATTTTTAAAAATTAATAATCCAAATTTTACAAACTAATTTAATAATTTATTCGATTAATTATCATTCCATTAGTAAATAATATATATATATGTGCATATATGTATATATACCATTACTTCACTCGATCATTACAAAAAAAAGAACATGACCAGAAATTATCAATTTCATTATAACTATATATTTAATTGTTTTTAGATCGGCACATAATCATCTAGTCCTCAAAATTTTTGTTATGTATTATATTTATATTTGTAGCTAGATATATTGATTCAATATAGTATATTTCAGTTTATATAAATTTGAAGTTTATATTAAAAATTCAAAAAATAAATAAATAATGACGAAGTAACATATGATGAAATTATTTGAAATTTAATAATAAATTATTTCATAATTTAGTATCAAGCTTCGTGATTTTTTAAAAAATTACATGAAATTTTATTCAATGTGTTAGTTATAAAGTAAAGGTTATTAATCCTCTAAATTTGAAATATTGATGATAACATAATAATTTTGATGATAACATGTTTGATTATGAGTTAAATATGTTATCACTCTAAATTTATAGGGAAATTTTTACCTTACTAATGTTAAACATTAATTAGTTCAACTAAATTTTTTTAAAATTAATCTGTTACTGTAACTACTAATTACTATCGAGATATAACTATTTAAATGCTCAAAATTAAAAATAATATTTTTAAAAAAATGACATGTGAACAATTATTATAATAATTTGTCACAAAATTTCAAAGTATTTTTTTTTAAGAGTTTGTATACAATAAATTTTTTTTTATATTATATCTCAAATCAAAATATAGTACTAATTTCACGTGAAAGTTTATGTCATTTGTCATAACATAATTAGTTAAATTTTAGTTTAATTAAGTTAAAAACTAATTTATACTTGCTCAAATATTTGTTATTCTCGAAATAAATACTCTCGAGATATATAATTATCTTATTTGAGAATAATAACTATCTATTGATACTTATTTATTTTTATATTTGTAAATGTATCACTTCAAAAAAATAAAAATAATATTAATTAAGTGTGAAATAACAAAAAAAACCAACAAAATTATTTAATCATACCTAACATAAAAGATAATATAAATGTCACGTAAAATATAAATTTATTTCATCTACAACTATATAATATAATTAATTAACCTCTTAGTTTGATAAAAGTTGAAAAATAATTTATACTTAAAACATTTGTTATTCTCGAATAAATACCTTCGATTGTACAAGATGTACGTTCTCTTATTTGAGAATGATGAACCCTCTGTTCGAACTCATTTACTTCTACTTAAATATATGTATCCCTTTAAAAAAAAAAATAATTAAATAATTGTGAAATAATAAAAAAAAAGAATAAAAATCCAGTTTATAGGATATTAACGTAAACTAATTGGGCCTAATTAGTATCTTCATTTCAAGGCCCATATAATATATAAAGCTTCTTATGGGCCTAAAAATTCATAACGGTCCAAATAACCACCTACACAGTATCTGTCGTTTGTTTATTTATTATGTACTCCACCACTTCCAACTGACCAGACAGTCTTCACTGCCCGGTGCCTATTAAAAGTATTTCTTCTCCGAGAATTAAGTACATTTCTTATCTTTTCTTCTATCTCGAGAAACTCTGAAACAGAAACCACGAGCAAAACAGAACGATGTCGTATGTGCCTCCACACCTGAGGAACTCAAGCTCAACCTCCTTCACCAAATCCTCCTCTCTAAACCTAGACTCGTTTGATCAATCCAAGCTCTCCTGTTCTTCCAATTTCCATTTCAACAACTCCTCTTTTACCAATACTACCGTTGCTGCTGCTGCTTCTTCGTCTTCGTCTTCTTCTTCTGCTTCCTCTTCTCCTCCCTCCACATTCTCAAATGGATATCGTCGGGTGTCCAGCATGCCAACGTCGGTGAGGGCTCTGCATGTTCCCGACCCTGTTTTCCATCCGTGGAAACCCTCCGACCGAGTTCTCCGCTTGACGCCTGAGCAGGTTCGGCTCTTTCACTCTGAAATGCTTTCTAGTTTGCCTTTGTTTTGGAGGTCTTCTATCCTTGCGCGAATTTCTGCTGTTCTTGTGTTTATTGTGTGTTTATGTTCATCGGCTTGTATTGATTTGTCCGAGAGGTTGTTAACTTGTCATACTTTAATTGTATTTTCTTCATTGTGGTTGGACTCGCGTCTGTATTTCCAAAGCAGGTATTCCTATTAACGCATTTTCTTTTCGTGTAAATTTTGGAATCTTAGAATGAAGGTTGTTTATCGATGAATTTCCCTTTTTTTATTTGAAAATTTTCCTAAAAACAAATGGTGTCTTCTCGTTCTATCCATTTGTTATATTGATATTCAAATCTGGATCCCCCTCGTTAGTCTTGTTTCCAATTTTTCTTTTATTTTTCTTGCAGATTTTTTAGACAGTAACATTAAGTTTGAAATTTTATTCGTTATTGTTACCATTGTATTGTGTCGACTAAGTCTGATGTTCCTTAATCCGAAATGAACAGTGCTAGTAGTGCACCAAGAATCTCTCCAGTGTATTGGTGTAACACCGCAAACGATTAAATCAGCAACTTAGATTGAGAGGGGAGAGATTAGACCAGCCATTTAGGGAAATAAGGGTAGTAAAAGATTACCTCTCTTGGGATTCAATTGTATTTATAGAGACTAATCATGGGGAACAGGTAACATGTAAGGACTAAGGAGGGAGGTTTTTTCTGATTCAAGTGGCTCCTCTTAGGTGTAAGATTACTCTGTCACTGATAAATTTTGGGGTATGAGCTGACATTATGGGATCTTTGGAATCAAAGATGTTAGTTAATAGGAGTTGACTTCTAAACAGATTTGACATCTATGCCTTTAGCATTCTGCTAAGATGGATGGCATAGATTCTTTTTATATGTAGGGCTGATCCGAGGCCTTTAGGGGCCAGGCCAGGGTTTGATGCCTGAGCAGATGACTGGGATGTATGATGCAGGTAGTATGAGATCTACCGAAATGCCCTTTGGTTGGATATTGATAGGCATGTATAGGCTGGGAGTTGTCTCTTTAGACACGTGGTGTTGGTTGGGGAGCTGGGTGTAGCAGTCGTATCACTAGTCACCTTCTAAAATTGTCAACAACAAATGGAGGTAGATCAAGTCACTTCTCCACAAATAATGCCTTGAGAAGGCGTCAGGCACACAAGGCCTACTCCCACCCCACTTTTTAAATTGAAGGATCTGGCGGTGGTGGGTCATCTTTGGAACGTGTGGTGTCTGATCACAAGATTGCAGCCTTTGTTTCACTTGTCAAGGATGATGTGTTAGGTCTTTCTATCATTACTTAACCAAGAATGACTCCGTAGAGACCAGTTTTCTTTTCCAGCAAATCTGGAAGGTGAATGCTCCTCTTAGAGTTGCTTCCTCTGTTTGAAAAGTAGGACGTGGGCGTATTCTTACCATTGACAAGCTAATGAAAAGGGAAAAGATTATGATGAATGATTTTTTTCTACGTAGAAGGGCAGAGGAGTCTCATAATCATATTTTGGTTTGGTGCCCACTTGCGTACAAGTTATGGACCATGGTAGATGGGTTTCTAGGGATTCGTTGGGTAATGACTAGTCCTATTAGGGATGAAATATGTGAGAAGAAATATCTGAGTTTCATTTTCCTTGCTATATTTTGGGTGGTGTATAAAAAAAGAAACAAAATACTGTTTAAGGTGGTAGAAGATGATTTTGATAGGGTTAGAGATAGATGGTTTTAGACCCAGGATTTTTTGGTCATAGGTCATTCTTTGTATTTTATAAGGATTATTGGGACTTTGAATGATCCATTTTGATTGACATGTAAATGATTTTGTACATGGGTTGTCATTCCCTTGGTGCCCGTAATTAATGATCCATACCAATTTTTTATTTAAAAAAAGATATGTATTGGTGCAGGAGCAGTATTCCTAAAGACCTTTGGAATTTTGCGTAGGATAGTTAAATATCTTTATACGAACTTGAAATGGGTGTTCTGATCATCCTAATCTCATGTTTTTATTCCAGACCGAAGAGGTTCGTTCTCGGCTCAATGTTGATGTTACTGTAGCTTCAGGCTCTCCTTCTGCTCCTGCACCGATTGAGTCTTTTGCGGACATGGTAAATATGTATTTAGCTGATGAGAACAAGCGCTTTTTTGGTTTGAACTGTTAAGTACTGGTTATGAGTGAATGAAACTATGGACTTGCACTTTTTGCAGTGTTTGCATCCAAGTATAATGAAGGACATAATATTTCATGAATACACCACACCAACTTCAATTCAGGCGCAGGCCATGCCAGTAGCTCTTAGTGGAAGGGACCTGTTGGGTTGTGCTGAAACTGGTAGTGGCAAGACTGCTGCCTTTGCCATTCCAATGATACAGGTCCTTGGCCATGATAGATGATCCTATATTATAATTATCATAGTTATCTTTTATTATGTTGCCGCTACCTGATGATCTTTCTTCACATATATTTTTCTTAATTTCTCATGCAGCATTGCTTGGCTCAATCTCCTGTTCAGCGTGGTAATGGACCTTTGGCACTTGTGTTGGCTCCTACTAGAGAGCTTGCACAACAAATAGAAAAAGAGGTAAGATAGCTATATTTCAACCAAAGAAAGTTAGTCACTCTGTTACGCTTTTGTTCTATGCTTTCGGAGTAGCTGAAAATTTCTAGCTTCTCCTCTATTACCTTCACGACCATTCTCCTTTTTAAAGACAGCCTAGTTTATTCAGTTTTAGATTATCCAATTGCAAGGGTCTTGATGTATGGCAAGCATTATTTTCTGTACAAACTTGATCTGTTATCCTTTTTTTTTTCTCCAGAAACCAGTGAGTTGTTCTAAGTATCATCATGTTGAGTAATAGAACAGTGCCTTTTCAGGTTAAAGCTTTTAGCAGATCTCTGGAATCTTTCAGAACTGCAATTGTGGTTGGTGGAACAAACATCGGTGAACAAGTGAGTAATTTGGTCTTTTAGTTTCTCTTAGTTGTTGATTGACTTCTCCAGATAGCTTCTTTATGTCAGAATCATCTTGTCATTCTCAATGTTTTGCTTACAGTAGATCCCATACTTTACTATCAGAATCTGAAGATTCTTTGTGGTTTCACCTAATTTTGATAATCTGTTGTTTCTGGATGCAATTATAGAGATCTGAGCTTCGGGCTGGAGTGGATATAGTGGTGGCTACTCCTGGAAGATTTATCGACCATTTGCAGCAAGGCAACACTTCCCTTTCGAGAGTTTCATTTGTTATTCTGGATGAAGCTGATAGAATGCTTGATATGGGGTTCGAACCACAGATAAGAGAGGTATATATCATCTCAAGTTTGTATGTATCTGTATGTGTTCTAAATGCAGCTAACCTGGGGCCTGACTGACTGATTATTTCAAGTCGCATGATTATTTTCTTAAAAAAGTAAGACAAAGAGGGTTTTAATCGTATGTTTTTCTTTAGCTAAAGAAGATTTATGAGGAAGAAAGAGGACAAATACAATGTATACACAGAAGATAATGCTTCTCCGTAAGGAATCCTAAAACGAAAGAGAAAAAGAAAAAAATCATAACAAAGCGACACCACCCTAGGAGCTATAAATAATAGCATTCCCAACTAAATGAGATGCTGAAATACTAGTATTATGACAGTATCCATTCACTTTAGCCCAAAGGATAGCTAAAAAGGTAGCTCTGTCCGATAACTCATGAAAAAATGTGTGATAGTCCTTAAAGATCTGACCATTTTGGGAAAGCCACAAACACCATAAACCAGCGAATACGGCCCCTTGCCAAAGTCTAGTCGGATATTTCTGTTACATGAACCCACGATCCACTTCCTGAAGGACAGGCAACTTGTTGTGGAAGCAAAATAAACTATAACATTCTTCTCTCAAGAGAAACAATGACAATAATGAGGGAACTCAATGCTGGGGAGTTCTTTTTTCTTTTCCTAGCTCCCTTTTGTGGAGACTGGTGAAATCTGCACTACCACACTCCTCAATTCCTTAACAGATGAATTCTTTAGCTTCTTGTAAACATAACATTTCCCAGTGGGATGGTTTTCCTTATCTTTGAAAATGCTTTTCCGCCTCTTGACCTATAACATAGAATTAAAAGTAACCTTATCCGGTTACCAAAACTAAGTTATCATCAAATTCTTTATGCATGGTTCATTTCATACCTGAAATATACATGTTTTTCATTTCATACCATACAACAGGTAATGCGGAACCTTCCAGCAAGGCATCAAACTTTGCTGTTTAGTGCAACCATGCCTGTGGAAATTGAAATGCTAGCGCAGGTAAGATCTCCCGCTAATTTTTGGACTTTGTTTGCTTGTATAAGCATTCTTCAAAGTTATTGGATAAAGAGTAGCTTTATTATTTTTTACGTTACTGAATTAGATCTGCCATAATGGGTGTGGCTTTTAATGTGTATATCTTTTAATCTGAATTAATGTAAATGTGGACATAATATTTTGAATTTGTCATGTGGATTTATGAGTGTGCATATTTCTCTGCATGATAAGCATAAAGTATTCTGCTGTCAGTAATTCATTTAGATCTGCGATTTAATGTGATTGCATATTTCTAACCAACTAGTTCTTGGTTGAATAGCGAATACTTCTACCAATTTCTATGAAGATGTGGATTCAAATTGTAAGTTGTGTATCGAGTGTTATCCTAGGAGGTGTCGTCACTTGTGTTCTTGTTTGGAGTTTGTGTTATTATTGGTATGCAGGTGCTACCTAATTAGTGCAATGTATGAATTTTCACTCCAAAAAAAAAAAATATTTCTAATTACATATTTTCATAAGTTTTAGTCACCCCTGTTAATTAGGAATGCATATGACTTATTTCTTCCCACTTGAGTAAACCACGGGAACCTGTCTTTTTATGCGTGATGCTTAGAACTTTCAAGTTTTCCATGGTTTTTCGGGCTTTAAAATACCAGAAATTTAATCCATTATATGGAAAAATATTTTTCCCAAAGTAATATTATACTTTTTTGTTTTATTTGGTAAAATTGAAAAGAAAATTCTCCAGCGAATCTTATTGCTTTATCAATATGCCAAGAAGTTTTACGTGTGATCTGGAATGCAAGTTTATGATCTGTAACTTCTGCTTTGTCTTATAGAATTTGTTAAACATTAAAATATGGAGAGGTAACTTTGAGAAAAATATCATTTTTATTGTATTTCCTGACTTATCTTCTGTGAGAATTTCTGCACAATTTTCTCTTCTTGCCTCATTTCAGGATTACTTGACCACTCCTGTACAAGTAAAGGTCGGCAAAGTGTGCAGCCCTACAGCGAATGTACTTCAAGTTTTGGAGAAAGTTTCTGAAAGTGAGAAGGTATACTTACCTCGACGTTTCAAGTAAATTTAGTTATGGGGTGGAGTTGCTGGCTTAACACTAATTTCTCTTCCGGTGTTTATTATGTTCTAGGTTGATCGACTTCTAGATCTACTTGTTGAGGAGGGATCTCAGGCTGAGAGATCTGGTCATCCATTCCCTTTAACCATTGTGTTTGTAGAACGGAAGGTAAAGCTTAATCTGGACATCCTTTAGTTAATATACTAGCTTCTTATGTGAATAATGTCTGTCTGTTCATTCTGTGCCAATAGACAAGTATTTATTTGTTTTCCAGCTACCTACTGCTCAAGCAAACCTCCAAAATTTTCAAGTGTGTAAAATTTATTTTTCAAATCAAGCCGTACAGAAGTTTTGTGTTCAAATGAAACCGGTACTTCTAAATTTTTTTTCAAATCAACCTTACCATATACTTCCATTTAGTTACCATTAAATCTTATGCCCATCTAGCTGCTGACATGGCACGTGGGCAGTTTTATTTAACCATTTAACAATGTGGCATCCGCATGTGCGGTGTGTTTAAATATATATATGTGAATATATATATAATATATGTTCTTCTCTCTCTCTCCAAACAGATTTAAGTATTCCTTTTCTGCACCTTCTCCTCTTTCTTTCCCCTCGCCATCGTACTTCGAGGGATTGAAATCCGCCTGCTTCAATAGCAGGCTAGTGTTTGCGTTCGGTTTTCTTTCCCCATTCATTCAGTAAGCTCGGCTGCTGGCGGGGTATTGAGAGAAACATTCGAGGGTTATTATTAGAATCTGGGTTGGGGATGGAAGACAAAGAAGAGGAGCAAGGGATGAGAGAAGGGAATCTGAGAGTGAAGGGTGTGGGGTGCAAGGAGAGAGAACCAAACACTAATTTTCCCTTTTGATCTTTGCACTAGAAAATTATTTTGTTGGTTATTTTTTTAAAAAAATCTCAAGTCATAAAGAAAGTTTTCTAGTTAAACAAACGCAAATTTTCTTCTAAGAATTTTGCATTTTGTTGGCATTGTCGTTTTGAGATTTTTTTTTAATTAAGAAAAAATCATGTTGAGTTGAAGATGGGTGATTGAAAGAGTTTATATATGAAATATCAGCAGGCTGAGAGTAGAAGAATGGGAAGTAGTTGAATAGAGAAGTCAAGAGAAGAGGACTGTTATGCTCTGGGGAGGACTGTTTGGAGAGAGGGAAGAGGACTATTTGGGGTGTGTTTATTTGTTGCCAATGTGGGATCCACATGGATACCATCTTGCCAAATGTTCAAGTGAAATTGTTCACATGCCATGTCAGGTAGCCACATAGCATAAAGTTTCAGTAACTAAACAAATGGTAAGGACTGTTTGAAAAAATTTTAGAGGTACAAATTTCATTTGAATGCAGGGGCTGATTTAGAATAAAGTCAAAAACTACATGGGCTTCTTATACATTTTAGCATTGTATATATTGTCCTATAAAAAAGTTATATATTATCTAGTGTACCATAAGAGTCATTTTGTACGATGTACCTAATGTTCATGAAAAAATCACCTATAAAAAGTACCATCAGAGTCATTTTGTACGATGTACCTAATGTTCATGAAAAAATCACCTATAAAAAGTACCATCAGAATCATTTTGTACGATGTTGGTATATTTAGTGTGGAAATAAATTTTTCTTGTGAGCAACAAGGATGAGTGAAACAGGGTAGTTGCTGATGAAAATATGAGTTTTGCCATATCTCCTCTGGGGGACACAGCAGACAAGTCTCCTGGTACTTACCCCTCAGTGCTCACTTGGACCTAGATTTCTTGTTATAGCCCACGATTTGGTAAAGATAAAGTTAATTTATTATCCTATAAGCTGGAATCTTATCCTTCAAAAATTTGGTAGAATGTTATAATTCTTGAATGTGGGTATGCATGCAGACACGGTGCGATGATGTCGCTGAAGCTTTGGTAGCACAAGGTTTACATGCAGTCTCTCTTCATGGTGGCCGTAGTCAGAACGAAAGAGAATCTGCCCTTCGTGATTTTAGGAATGGCTCAACTAATATTTTGGTATTGTCCATTGCATTTCCATTGAGCTGTCATTCTACCACATGAAATCTTCACCATGACCGATAAAATGTATAATTTATGAGATAATTGGGCCCCTCTGTGCATTTCAGATTTTTTTGCGGGTCAATTCTTTCATTCTGTTTTCATATGTTTGGTTGCAAATTTAGATATTTATCATAAGGCTTCTATCTGTCTTTGATATCGTAAGGGTTTTATTGTTCCTTTTGTATTTTTCTAACATCCACGAAAATATAGCATCCTAATTTAGATTGGGAAGCTCATATGGGCTAGAAACTATTTTGCATACTTATGGAACCAGAGTAGTTTAAGGATATCCAGAACTGATCCATACCGTCCTCCATTTTGATTAATTAGTGTCTATGTGTATGGATTGAGCACTTTCAACAAGTCTAATTAAGACCTTAATGTGCAGGTTGCAACGGATGTTGCATCTCGTGGTTTGGATGTCTCAGGAGTTTCTCATGTTGTTAATCTAGATCTTCCAAAGGTATTTCTGGCTAACTGAATTTCTCAACCGAGTCTTTTCTGGAAGGTAACATTGTAGTTGCTTGTTTGAAAATTCAGGAATCTGTCTGGTTTTTAAGATGCCTTCTTCTATCAAGTCATGATACTGTTGGTATAATCTTATCGAATATGAAACTTTTGTGAGGCTATGACTGATGCATTTGGGATTTATTCATTGCCTCCCAACCTATGGTTAAGAGTCTTTATTGTGCCTTGATATGTTAGCATCTCCTTGGCCTGGTATTTTTAGTGTCCGTTGGTTTCTTTGTGAATTTCTAATCTGAGGCATATGTTATGGATGCCTCAACTATAGACCATGGAAGATTATGTACACCGGATTGGGAGGACAGGGCGTGCCGGTTCTATGGGCCGAGCTACTTCATTTTATGTAGATCGTGACATGGTACATTTTTCTGCATTTCTTTCCATTTCCATATCTTATGCGTTTTATGTAAGGATGACATTCAGTTCTATTTCGTTGATGTGGCTTTCTACTTTAGTTCCTGGTGACTCAAATAAAGAAAGCAATAGCAGATGTTGAATCTGGGAATACTGTGGCTTTTGCTACTGGGAAGGTACAAATAGAGTTCAACTTTTCAGGCATAATATCTGTTATAAGAATTCACATTTTCTAGCAGAACACTAGTATTAAGCCTGATTGCTGTGGCTTTTAGAAAGATTTTTAAAAAAGATATTTTTAATCTTAAATACCTCCTTTTCCTAATCAAAGATGTTTGGTGGTATTTAATTTCCAGGTTGCAAGAAGGAAGGAGAGAGAGGCAGCTGCTGCACAAAAAGAAGCAAGGAATGCCTTGTCAAAGTTGGCATTGATGGGACCCACTTCAATAAACATTGAAGACAAGTATAGGTTCATGATTGCACCCTCAAATGTCAAAAGTGCAGGTGCAGCAGATAGTGCTTGGGATGATTGATGTTCTTATTTGGTGTTTCTCAAAAGATTGATGATCACTACCAAGGGCTCCAAAATGATTGAAGGTTGGTGAGAATTTGCATCTTCCTGCTGCATATTCTGCTTTTTGTTATCTTCTTTTCAGCTGATCTATGTGAGAAATTAGAACTTGTGTAACACTTTCCCTGAATTTTTGTGCTATGCATGCATTTGCTTTGATTATGATTTCAGTAAGCTGCACTTATTAAAAGGCAACTCAATTTATAGGTTTTCACAATCCTGACTTGGGGTTTGAAACACAAAGAGGCTATACAGATGACAGGCTTGCTGTAAGTTGCTGTGTTTAATGATTTCTTGTGCTCCATAATTAACAATGTTCCACGAACAGTTTCTTGATGGTATTAGAACAGAGTTTGTAGAATCAGTTTACATGGTTTTGCTTATGTACATCTGTAGAAGACTTTTGACTTAGGAATTTGAAAAGCTTCTGCTGATTCTTGGCATCTCTAAGGCAGTCCGATGATGATTTGAATTTGACTTCATTTTTTATTTCTGCGGGAACAAGAGGAGAATTGTGTTAAGTAGGTTTTTTAGATATGCAATAAAAGCGGAGCTGAAGTTCGTGTGCTGTCATGGCAAAAGCTTTTGGTTGCTTTAAGTCGGTCTTGGCTTCTTGTTGCCAAGCAATTCCCATGCACCCTTTCAGGAGTAAGTTTCATTTTCCTGGTATTTGTTTGCTTTTGTTTTCACTTACATAATCATATAGTTGTTTACATCTTAACATGTTTAGATATGTATTTTTTATAATCAGAAAATTAATATGAAAACTTTTTGGTGTAATTTTCATGAACCTAAGAAAATACTCTCATCAATCAAACGTTGCCTGTAAATTGGAAGTAGATGTCTTTTGATTAAGAGGCACACTTGATTTTTGGTTATGGTCTACAGAGGAGCATTTAACCGGTGGATGGAGTTAACATTTTAAGTGGCACACGAGGTAGATATGTAGGTGAAAATTGTAACATTCATCCATAGAATGTGAACCGACGCCGATAGAAGAAAAGAAGAAAAAACAGGGACAAAAGATTGAACTCTTTCGGAACCAAGAATCTCTAACATTTCTTATTCAGCTTCGGAACCAAGAATACCTGATAAATTCTTAAAGGAGCAATTAAGCAATGAGAGAGGATAGAACAAGCAATACCAGTTATAAACAGATGATTGTTCTCAAAATAGAACCAACCGTATGGAGGTCGGAAAGAAAGGAAATGCAACAGCTGGATTGCGGGTTGCATTTTACGAAAACGTTGTCGTTTTCACGAAAAAAAATGGTGGGCTGTCGGTTGGGCCGGATTTAAGAGGTTAATGGGCTTTTACGTTGGATTTTGTGGGTTCCGTTTGATTTGGTTAATGGGTTTCGTGTGTTGGTTTCGGCTTTTATCTGTGAAAGGATTCAAGGGAATGAGTTTAAATAGATGAACAAATGATAGTGTCTTTGGATTAAAAAAAAAAAGGCAGGTTTGCTAAAAAGTGTTAAAATTTTTTGTAAGTTCCATGGTAATAGAGACTACTAATTCAATGTATATAAAAAATTATTATTTATGTAAAATTAGAGTGTAATTAATTTGGGGAAATTTAAAATATGATTATTTATTTTATAAAAAAAAAAAACATTTCTTTTTCAAAAGGAAATTAAATACTTCCACTTGGAATGCCATTCTTTTACTTTAATCGTAATCGATCAGCCAATGACTCGAGGGTGAATATATAATTACCCCCAGAGTTCCAAGGTAATATCGAATTAACGAAATAGAATATTGCGCTTTCGTGTCTCTTCCTTCGAAATAGCAATTCCAGGGTTTGCCATCTTGCTCTTAGAATTGAAGGCAGCAGGGGGGTAAAGCTCCGGAGCATAATACTTTGTGGTGAAAATGGGAGGTGCTGGAATAGCTTCGGGATCAGGAGGTCTTTTCAAGTTCTTACGTCCTGGATTACGGCCACAATCCACCGATGTTCAGGCTGCTGCTATGTGGGGTGTTGCTGCTACCACCGCTGCCATCTGGCTCGTCCAGGTTTTCTCTTCCTTTCTTTTTCTTCCTGTATTTCCTTGTCATCCAACAGATCTCCGAAGATTTTTATTTATCCATCTAAATCGGATATGGATTGCTTGACTTTTCCTGTTGTATGGATTGAGTTCATTATTTCATTAATCATGACTTTTGTCAACGACTAAAGATTTCGTAATAAATGTTGATCTAGGTAAACGTAAAACATTGCAGAAACACAGATTCCGTCCTTGAAATTTTTACTGTGCGTTTTCTCTTCGCCATGCTTAGTGTATGTGTAGGATTAAACAGAAAATTGGTCGATTTTTAGTAGTTAATATAATATGAACGCTGATGAAACTCTTCGTATATTGTCAAAAACTAATTGTGATGAAACATGTATAGCTAATATTTAGTTTTGATTACTGTTGGTCCTGACAGAGATTGGTTAGGTGGAAATATTTAGAATACGTTTGGGACAAATAATTTCAAAGAAAAATTGTGAATTTCACTTATAAATCTATATTCAATCTTCTTCTCAAAAAAAAAAAAAAAAATCAGTGTTTAGAATGAGGGTACAAGGTAAATTTGCAAATAGAGTTTACTCTCTTTTTTGTCTTTGGGTTCCCAATTTTGGTATTTCCGTAGCAAAAGATCAAGAGATAAAATGTGAAACGAAAAGAAAAGAGAAGGTAGTCTTCGTATTCATATTCAGCTTTCCCATTCTCCTTAATAATCTTAACATAATCTGTTAAGGACTCGTGAAAGGGGCTTGGTTATTTCAACTGTTTCAAAGACGAAGTAAGGGAGTGATAATTTTTTTATTCATCTTGTCCTATGAGATACTTGGAATTTATGGTGAAAAACAAGCAAATGATGGATTCTAGGGAGCAAGGGATTACACATGATGTTGGACAGCTTGTGTTTGCTAGAAAGTGATTTTTTAAAAAAGGAATAGGATTGAATTGAAGAATCGGGGAGGAATACAGGAAACACTATGACGAGGGAGAAAGAACGAGAACGAGCAGAAGAGAACCAAGAAAAGAAACGGAGGCTGAGAGATAGAACGGGATAAAGAGGGAGAAGCAGAATATGAAGGGCAGAAGAAAATTAGAGAACACTTTAATTAAGGAAATCTCAACTTCAATGAAGTCTGTGTAGCCTTTATTTAGTCAATAACTAAAACCAAACAAGTTAGTATCAAAATCAATGACAAAGAGGTGAAAAGGTCTAAATCCTAATAAAATTGTAGAATTTCTAGAACTACGATTGCCTAAATATATAATGGTAATTACAGAAGTATCCTCAAGCACTAAAGTGATTGTAGCTTCTGGTCACTGTGCATCACGTTCTCTTTGCATCTGATGTTTCTAGTTGCTTAAGAGGATAAAAAGTTATATTTTGCAACAAGAATTATCCAGTACTCTGATATACAAACCTGGAGTGTTGAGCATCTGTGTAACTTTAGATGATGTACTAGTCTGTGTAATTCTCACCTTGTGCTTGTTTATGCTTGTCCTGGTTTTCTGTTTGATTTTCCCCTGTATTCTTTTTACCTTCTCCCCATCATAATCTCTGACTACTGTGTTTCTTGGATTTGACAGCCATTTGATTGGTTAAAGAAGACATTTTTGGAGAAACCAGGAGGTGAAGGGCAGTGATTTTGATGTGGGGATTCACCAACATAACAATTGGGAAAACCATAAATTTAAATAATGTTCATCTCTGTATCTTGTTTACTGTTTCACCGGAAGCGAAAAGGTTCATAACTTGTTTTCGTGAACATTTTCTTTGAGATCATAATGATGGATTTTGTTTTCTTATTTGCCAATTGATTGGAGAATAAAGTAAAAGTTTTTTTCCGGGTTATTTACTTGTTATTGCGTTATGTTTCATCATGTATTCGTGTGCCACACCATGAAAGATATGGCATGACACAGCATGAAACGAGATAAAACCAGAATTAGACATTAAATGAGAAACAGGTTCACAGCTTTTAGGTGATGTATGCGACATTTCTAGAGAAATAGAAGAAAATAAGGTATGCATGTTTCCACTGTCAATTATTACACAAGAAACAGAGGAAACTATAAGTAAATTTATGGAAACCAAATTCCCCTACCAGGCCTCATATGTTAGTACAACTTAATCTCAACCAAATGACTACTAATACAAGGATGCTGCAGTAACTTACATGGTTACCAACAAACGGAGGATCATAAGGACCAGGCCTCATATGTTAGTACAACTTAATCTCAACCAAATGACTACTAATACAAGGATGCTGCAGTAACTTACATGGTTACCAACAAACGGAGGATCATAAGGACCCAGGCCAGCCAACACCAAAGGCAGCCTTTTCTATTGCAAATACAAACAAGTAAAGATACAAACATATGCCCATATCACATGCTCATGATGCCAAAATTGGAACTCCTTTGTGTCCGATAACTGCCTGCCGAAGCCTGTTATACCCATTTCTATAGTGCTCCAGAGAGAAACAAAGCTGCCGGATAGCCTCCCGTTTTTCTTCTGCTGCTTCTGAAATTAATACACTTTGCCTCTTGATCTCTTCCTCAAGTTCCTTTACTCTTGATCTCAACTCTTCTATAAGTTTTCGTGCCACTTCACCACCGGCAATCAGCTGTACGTGCTCCATATGTAATTGATGCAAATGCTGATCCATTTCATCAATTCGGTTATCTCTGGAACTCATCTCTGATTTCAGTGAAACAATTTCCTTGTTAAGCGAATCTCTTTCAGATTTTAAGGCAACAAGGCTTTCATTTAAGTTTTCAATGTGATTGCTTCTCTCAAGGATGTCGATTTCTAATAACTTGATTTCTCCGGTAAGCCTTTCCTCCATTTCTGTTTTATTGATTGTGATCTTCCTAATCTCATCCTCTAAAGAACGGCCACGTGATTCCCACTCCCTAAGCTGCTGCTCCAAATGAGTTCTCTCCTCTAACAACTTGGATATTTCAGCTTTAATCTGTGCCTTCTCTGGAAAGATTTTCTGCTCAGCATCAGATACTGCTATATTCAAATCCCTGATTTCATGATCCCTGTCTGACAAACTAGTTTTTAGCCTTGTAATCCTTTCTTGTAGCTTAGAAGCCTCTCGTTTCTCCACATTCAGTTTGTTTTTCCCCATTACGACATCTTTCTGGGCCGACTCGAGCTGATCCTGCAAGTTGCGGATCTTGTCAGAAGATTTGTTACTTTCAAGTTCCTGTTTCAGCCTAGCAATTTCTTTCTCTGAATCCTGAAGGCTTTCTTTTGCAATCCTCAGCTCTTCCACCAATGCCTGAATCTTGCCTTCTTCATCCTGTGTTTCTCCTTCCAAACTGCAAATCGTTTGTTGAACATCATTCACTTCTGACGATTCAGTATGAGCATGAATGCCATTGGTGGTTTCAGATGATTTATATTTTTGGAGCTCATACTTCAATCTAGCAATTTCTTCCTCTGAAACCTGTATCTTTTCATTAGCAGTTTTAAGCTCCTGCTCATAAGCAGCAATTTTAACATGAAGATCAACAAAACTCTCACTTTTCACTCTTCTCAATGAGCCATCTTCACCTTCTTCCTGTTGCATCTGTAGTAGCTTTTCTTTTGCTTCACGAAGTTCAATCTCCAATTCAATTATCTTTTTGTTCAGTGCTTGATCGCCACCGTTCCCCATTAAAATCGAGTAATTATTTACCGAGGAAGCATCAGATTCGGATTCAGAATCTGTTAGTGAAGATGATTCATCTCCTTCTTTTTGGTTAACATCAGAGCTGCTTCCACCAGATCCAAGGAAAACATCAAAACCAGCGGCTCGTGGACCAGATTTATGGCGAGTTATCCTTTGATCAGGAGAGGGCGAAGCAGAAGGGAGTTCAGAAACAATCTCAGAAATGCCTGAGCCCTGGGATTGGAGATCTGAAGGAATGTTTTTCTTCAATTCTCCTGTCACATGATCATAACGCTCTGCCAAAGACCGGTACATGCGGTAAAACTCTTCAACAAGGGCAATCAATTCTGGTCTCTTCTGATAATACATCTCAGCCTTTTTAGCAAATGAATCTCCATCTTCTTCTATCAGCTTCAACATCCGCTTGACACTCTTGTCCATCTCTGGTGTCAGGGATCGTTTTGTCATTTTCTTACTCAGCATTTTGGAGATTAATAAAATATAACATCAAAAACTTTTTTTGTAATGTAAAATTCAGAAATTGGAACCTATTCCCGCTGGGTTTTTTGGCAGAAGAACTAAGAAATGGGAGAGGCTAACCTAGCTGGACAATTGGATGTGGAATTACCACACCCGTTGTTTGAGGTTGAGAGAAGAAAAAGTGTTTAAAAGTATTTATCTCTGCCCATATTTACCTATATACAAATATAACCTCGGCCAAATTTAGAATGTTAAACAAAAACCTTCATGCGGATAGATTAAGATATGCTATAATGTTTGGTAAAACAGAAATGTTTCTCCTTTAGATTTGGTTAAAACCTATATGGAGGTTTAAAAAAAGAAAGAAAAGAAGAAAAAAGAAAAGAACTTAAGTGCACCGAAACGTTAGCCATTGAAAAGGTTATGTCCTTACCTTCAAGATTCTCCGCAAGCCATTTCGAATTTTTAGGACTAATGTGACTATCCCACCACCAGGAATGTGATTTTCTCGATTCTAATCTTTTCATACTCTTCTTTGATCCGGTCTAAACAAAGAACAAAGTACCATTATAGGGTAGACCAAATCAATGTTCAAGTGTTTTGTTAAAACACCATGTAAGAGGATAAATACAAACACTAGAACTAGGAAATTATAAAGATGTTCAGCTGAAAGATAACAGCTCCTTTGTGTCATTGGCAAAATTTTTAGAATGATCAATGCAAACATTCTATATATTTCATCCTCGTCAGACACAACCTATGGTGTAAGTATGCACCCTTAAGACAAAATATACAGCCGGAAGAAAGAATCTATTATGGGTGAGATTGTTTCTTACCACCAGATTGTCTGATAACATAATTAAATAAATAAACAATAATCATTTCAATTTACCATGAATGGGGAAGTTAAGGGGAACATACATATAACTGTAACAATGATAGGAGATCAAGAATCTATCCATAGTTAAGATTCTAAAGCATGTGTGTATGTAGATATTATATATATATATATATGTGTGTGTGAAACATTTGTCAAAACAAAAATTATTCGGGAGTCATCATGCCTCGAGGTCAATTTCTTCTTTTATTTTTCTAACATTTGATAATAAGTTTTTAAATTTAATGCATTAAAAAAACATACTAAATTATATGGTTAAGTAATCACTACCATCATCTAGTTATCTGTTACTATACATTATCAAGTGATCACTCCATAAATCACTAAATTAATATACAAAATTCATAATGCCTCCGAGTCAACCATTGAAGCTTATTCTGGTATTACCTCCGTAGCGGCCATTGACAAGGTGGTGAATGGAGAAACCTGCAAATGAGAAGGCAAAGCCAAAAAATCAGATTGAACTTATCCAATATTACAATATTTTATTATACGAAAAAGTCAGCTTAGGCCTGGATTAAATGAATAATATAATTGAAGTAAACATCATTCAGTTGATCTGAATTCGGATCATGGATTTGTGGGGGCCCAAAACAAAGCCCATTTAGGATCCGGGAAGTTAAAAGCACGCACACGAAAAGCGCGGGAGGGATCAGGATTCCTCGAAGTGATAACATATGAGACAAAGATATTATTATTAAAATAATTTTCAGAAATTTATCTGAATTAGCGGGAAAATTGACTCCCCTGTACAACTGTCAGAACGAGACGTCCAACTTCATCCACGCGTTTCCCTCTCCAAAACCAGGCGTCTCATCAACTCAAACTCAGAATCCCCAAATCAAACTTCACCCAAAATTATCATCTCAAGAAACCAAATTTAAAAAAAAAAAAAAAAAAGTGAAAATCGAAGAAGATCAACTTGGCTTTCCGAAATAATTACACACTTTTTTGATTTGGAAGAAAAAAGAAAAGGATGTCGGTTCACAGGTCAGGGACAGAGCGATCCGACTGTAAATCGGGCCATAAAACATTATATATAGATGCATGTAAGAAGACAGAGAATCGGAGATCTTACTCAGAAGAGGAATAGAGCTTGAACTGATTGATGATGGGAGCAACAATCCACTTAGACGAAATGAACAGCGAGGTTTCCCTCAGATTCAACGACACAAGCGCTTAAACAGAGAGAGAGGGAGAGAGAGAATGGGGAGAGATGGTTGTAAGTAAGCTCAGCACCAAAAAGGAGAGAGATGGGAAAGAAAAGATGAGTTATTTTTTATATCAATCACGGCCTCGCCTCTCACATGAACTCCTTCAAAAAGTCAACACCCTTTCTATTTATTTTCTTATTATTTACTCATTACTTTTTACCATTTATTAAATAGTTATAAACAACCTTAATTATTTTGTTATATTTACTAAAAATAAAAATATTTAAAAAAAAAACAAAAAAATTAGTTGAGAGGACGTCCAAAATAACATCATTACTTTGGTCGATTTGACCATATTAGCCCTTGCTTTATTTATTATGAATTCTATGTCCCGTAATTTTCACAAAAAATAAACCTTTTTTTTAGAAATTAAGAAACGTACCAGAACAAAATAAATAAACTATACGTACGTAGATATTTATAGAAAAGGGCATTATTGGTCACGTCGCCCATGTTGTTTCCAAATCCCAATAAATACACAATTTATAGTTTACCGAGTGGAGGTGGAACACCCCCATTTATTTATTTTTAGTATTATTATTTTTTTATAATTTCTTTACTACATTATAAATTACAAATTATAAACTAAAAATAATACATAGTTGTTAATAACTAAATTATGTATTGTTAATTATATATCTAATAAAAATGTCAATCACTCAAATTTTAATTAGTTAATAATGTATGTTTAATTATTAACCAGCGTTGGTGACTCAGTTCACACCTTAATAACAGCTATTATTCTGCCATCTGTCTTCTCTTCTTTTATTTATTTGACGCGGCATTTTTTATATATTTTTTTAATTTTTCTCGTCAACTTTAATTAATTTTCTTAATTCTTACATATCCTTGTTAATATAAAAATACCGAGATATGCCAATTCACACTCGTACATGCATACATTAATTATGGAAGAATTATTTTATTTTATTTTATAATGTTATTTAATCATAATTTAATTGACTTGATCTTTTAAGAATTTAATTAATAACATCATATTAAATTAAATTTTGCAGATAAATCAATGATAAAAAAAATTTGTGCAATTTATTTACTGACCCAGAGATATATATATATATATATTTAAGAAAAATAAAACAAAAACCCAGAATAAATTGCAATCCTATTAATATATAAGATTGTAATTAAGAAAAGATTATTAACTATGATAATTATTTTAATTATTATCAAAGATTTTATTAAGTAAATAAACTCCGAATTCAGCCCGATTAAAATCGTCGGATGAGACAAAATTATTGGTAGAGAAACGAGAAAACGACACGTGTACTTTCATTAACGGAAATGCGGAGATTAAACGTGAAGCAATTTGGGGGAAAGCAGGGCGGGTAAGGCAGACGATGAGTGGGATTACAGCAAAGGCGCATTTCGCGTTAGTACACGGCGCGTCCCATGGCGCATGGTGCCTGGTACAAGATCAGGTCTCTCCTAGAAGCCGCCGATTACGACCTCACCTGCCTCGACCTCACCGGCGCGTGCATTGATCATACAGACCCTAACACTGCTCTCACCTTCCAACACTACAACCGTCCTCTTTTCCACTTCCTCTCTAATTTGCCCTCCGGCCACAAGGTCAGTATCCTTGATATCTTCTCTTTCTAATTTTGTAACTTCATGATCGTTTCATGTGAATTTTTTTGCAGGTGATACTGGTAGGTCACAGCGCAGCAGGTTTCGCATTGACATATGCTCTCTGCAACTTCACTAATCAAATTTCCATGGCAATCTACGTTGCCGCTTGTTAGTCGAAAAACGAAGAGCTTTGAAGTAGGCTCTGCAGAACAAACTTAGAGAGAGAGTTGAGGAGAGAGAGAGGGCAGCAAAACAGAGCAAAAACCTGCAACTGCCTCTGTTTTGCTGTTTTCTAAGAGGAGTTTCACTTTCTATTTTTTTGAGAGAAGAAGATAATTGATCTTTTTATTTCAGCATATATATAGAGATATCGATTACAAGTAATCAAGTCAAATCATCCGAAAAACATGCATACACGTCTCGTGAAGTTTACGTATCTTACTGTGATATATCTTCTCGATAGATTTCCTTCCTTTTGAATTTAAACTGAACAGATAAAAAAGTCATTAATTTTAACACTCCCTCTTAATGACTTTTTCCACCAACCCCTATTTTTTCTCGCAAATCCTCAAATTTAGCTTTAGACAGGACCTTGGTTAGAATGTCCGCAAGCTGATCATCAGTGGAGCAATGTATCAGCTTGATTTCTTGATTCCTCTCAACCTCACGTATAGCATGATACTTAACGTTGATGTGTTTAGTTTTCCCGTGCATTACTGGATTTTTCGCAATGGCAATTGCAGACTTGTTGTCTACATACAACACTGTAGGTGATTGTTTTTCCAGCTTTAGATCGTTGAACACCTTCCTCAACCAAATTGCTTGGTTAGTTGTTGTAGCTGCGGCTACATACTCAGCCTCAGCTGTGGATTGAGCCACAGTATCCTGTTTCTTAGATGCCCATGAAAAAACACCGGAGCCTATTTTGAACAAGTACCCAGTTGTGCTACATGCATCTTCTACAATTCCTGCCCAATCACTGTCACTGTAGCCGACTAATCCACCTTCTGGTCTTGCTTTGAATTGAACACCAAAATTCCAGGTTCCTTTCAAATACCTCAGCACATGTTTGGCAGCTTGTAAGTGTGATTCCCTCGGTGAAGCCATGAACCTTGAAAGTAAACTTATTGCAAACAAAATATCTGGTCTGGTAGCTGTGAGATACAGAAGGCTCCCAATTAGACTTCTGTAATTCCCTTCTTCAACTTGGCTACCTTTCTCATCCTTTGACAATTTCAGATTGGACACCAGTGGTGTAGATACTGATTTATAGTGATTTATATTGAATTTATTTAGAATTTCTTTGGCATACTTGCCTTGTGAAAGAAAAATACCCAAGTTATTTTGATGAATCTCCATTCCCAGGAAGTAGGTAGCTTCTCCAAGATCAGACATCTCAAATTCATTTTCTAATTTCTGCTTGAACTCTATCATTTTCCTTTTGTTGCTGCCTGTCACCAGTATATCATCAACATATACTGCAGTGATAAGTTGGTCTTCATCTTTATTCACATACAGTGTATTTTCTGTCATACTTCTCTCAAACCCACAGTGAAGTAAGTATGTATTTAACTTATCATACCAAGCTCGTGGAGCCTGTTTGAGGCCGTATAGGGCCTTGTGAAGAAGATAGACGTGACTCTCCTTTCCAAGTTGAATAAACCCCGGTGGCTGCTCAACATAAATTTCTTCATTCAGTTTGCCATTCAAGAAGGTCGATTTCACATCCAAGTGCATCACACTCCAACCAAACTGAGCTGCCATGGCCAGAATGAGTCTAATTGTTTC